TGGTGATGTAGGCACCCAAGGGAATCTCCTGGTCTGCAGGTTGCGAAGACCGTGGGAAAAACATAGTGTCTGGGCCAGAGTGTACCATTTCTCAAGGCACAGTCCCTCATGGCTTCCCTTGGCTAGTGGAGGGAGTTCTCTGACCCCTTGTGCTTCCTGGGTGAGGCGACACCCCACCCTGCTTTGGCTCATCCTCCATGGGCTGCATCCACTGTCTAACCAGTTCCAATGAGATGAGCGGGTACCTCAGTTGGAAATGCAGAAATCATCCACCTTCTGCACTGATCTCCCTGGGATCTGCAGACCGGAGATGTTCCTATTCAGCTGTCTTGCCAGCCTCCAGCCACTTCTAAGTCTTTATCAGTAAAATATGAGGGTTGGACTCAGAAACTCAAAACTCCTTTCCAGACTTTCTTAACATTCTTTGATTCAATGAATTTAATAGACATTTTCTTGTAACGGGTTCCACAGATCTTCATGCAGAATCCAGTGATACATGGGCAGCCTTAACATTACTCTTGTTGTCTTGGTTTTCATCTGCCTTTCTATCCATTGTCCACATAGTGAAATTTATGTTCTTTGGTAATCATCATTGATCTATTATATTCTTATCTATTTAAAGCTTTATTCAACCATGAGCTTCCCCTGCCATAACATTTTTCTGGTTTCCTTTTAAGGTTACCTTGTATTCAGCTATTTAAAAAATATTTCTATGGTCAACCAGTGCACTCTGAGTATTGTGTACTTTACTGGAAATTGTGTTGATGTTCCTGTAAATTTTTTTGTAATTCATATTTAATAATGAAAGGGTCTCCCATTTCTCTCTCTTAAAGTAAAACCCGTTAATGTTTATCTATTATTCAAATTAAAACTTCTACTTTTAATGGAAATTTATTCATTTTTGTGTATCTCTGCCAAACTTTTCTCTATTGATATAACCCATTATTACAGACTTTTATCTTTTTTGGATACCCTCTGAAGCCTCTTCCTTAAAAGCACCACTGGCAACAGACTCTCCTTTGAAATATTAATTAGTTAATTTTACATACGGATTTCATCAATTCTACTTTTTTACTTGTCTTTTGCAACTACATTTAGTATCATCGTATACATATAAAAATATATCTTAATTCCTTATTCCTTCTAATTTAAATATCAAATTTCAGATGTTATTTTTTTTTCTTTTCAGCTCCACCTCCCATTCTAAGCTACAACCGAAATCCCTTCCCTATAGCATTTTCTATCGTGAACAAAACAAAATATCTTAGCCTTGTGAAGCAGTGCTCCCTAAAGGTCAATATGCGTACAAATTACCTGGGGACCCTGCTAGAATGCATATTGTAACTCAGTTCTGCATCTTTAACAAACTCTCATGGAATGTCAGGGCTCCCGATTTTGGGATTATGTTTCAAGCAGGAAGGAGTTAGGGTTTTCCTGTTCATAAGTCCTATTTTAAGGCGTACTTTCACCGTGAGTTTTTTTTATTGTCGCTTAATCCTTTTAATGTGTTCCTGGGACTCTTTGATTTAGTTAACATTTGAACAGTGCTTTAGAATTCCCCAAGCATTTAAACACACAGTATCTCATTTGATACCCAGAGCAATCCTGTGTTGTAGGGTGGCTTAGGGTCCTGAAATTCAAGATTGTGCTGATAAACCTGTGGTGACAGAGTTAAGACAAGAAAAGATTTCTCCTCTGATTCTGCATCTTTCTCCAAACTCTTTCTGCTAACATCATTACCTCCCACTTCAAATGTAAAGAGAGCCCTTTTCTCTCCCATTCTGAACAAACCTCTGGTTTCTAACTAGTCACATTCTCTCCCTGAGCTTATGACTATGATCAGGAGATCAGCTCAAGCTTGGGCTCATGCCCATTCATGCGGCCCATTTATGAGGTGGGTTAAGAAGACCAGCAGCCCTTCTAGAACCACATGGATTATGGAATGTCCATTTTCCCCAAATGAGGGAGGGCTGTCCCAGAAGAAGGGTGCAGGGGTTATTGGGCAGAAAAATGAACACGTATCTGCTATTTTACCTCTTGATTTCCCAGTGCTTACACGCGTGCACACGCACACACACGCACTTTTGAAAACCTCCTCTCTAAACCTAATAACATTGCTCGAAAGTTCACCCTCTCCCAGAGAAGAGATAGTAAAAAAATTTGTGCCCAGCCACTGTATCGAGCTACAAGGTCAAGATCACTAGATAGTTCACAATATTCTCAATCAAGTTTAGAAATAATATTTCATGGATATATAATCATGGGGCTAAGTCATATGTTTTGCCTATTCACAATATTTAACAAAAGAAAAACCATATACTCATAATAACATCTGTGATTTTTAAAGTGCACGCAGCACACTCTGTTCACCAGTTCAGAGCATAAGACACATTTTGCTGGACAGACTGGAGAGCAGGGACCACAGTGGCCTCAGTTCCTCTGTCAGCCAATTTGTTTGACCCCAGGTTATGCTCTCAGGAAGGTTCTTCCTTGTCCAGTGTCCTCAATGGACATTACTGAGAGGGCCACCAGAGCCTGACCATCTGGGAGCTGGTTCAATTGGCACAATTACAGGGCTTGGCATTTGCTTTAGGGATCGAGCAATCCCAGGGGTCCTAGACTTAAACTCCCTTGAAACTCAGCTCATTTAGAACTTTAGTTAGATACTAGGAGATGTGGCTCCTGGGAACCCTGTTAGTTCCCAGAAATTTAATCAAATTTTTGAACTTTATCTCAGCCAGTGTTAGTTTTCTCTTTGTAAAGGGAGCTGGAACTCAGCAAGTCTACAAAGTAAAATGGTAGATTGCAGTGGCAAAGCAGAGCTCATCTACTTCCAGTCGAGGCTGCATCAGCCAGTGATGCTTTATGATGAGGGAATTGTTGCCTCTCATTTTTGGAAGAGGTCTGTGTGATCAGGCTTTCCCCATGAATCTTTTCTTCTGCACTTTCCCAATTCTTTCCCCTGGTTTGAATTAACATTACCCTGAGGCAGTAAATTCAAGTTTTGCAATTCAGCAGGGAAATAATTGGCCAAACCTCAAAAAGTCTTATATCCCTGGTTACAGGTTGAAAGATTTTATTTGCAAAATTTGTATGTTCTTTCCTTTTACACTTTCAGGTAGAACTTTACCAAAAATGGAAAAAAGTAGGCAAGACATCCTATTTTTTAACTTTTTTTTTAAAGGAAGAACTTAATTGCTATATAGTCTAAGAACCAAGGATCAATGGTTAATAATGAACCAATTATGTAGCTACCTCTAGCCAATGATTGCCACTTCTCAGCTATGGATTAAAGAGTCATCATCGCTCCAACTATCCCTCTTACTCTTAGAGTGTGTCGCTTGCAATACTCACCCACCTCTATCAAATTTTGCAGGACAGAGATCTGAGAAGGGAACCCCGGAAACAACAAATGTTCATCATAGCTATTCGCAAGTTCCTTGGTTTTTAAGTTGTTGTTTGTTTTGCTAACCATTTATTTTTATAAATGAAAATATGTTCATTTTATCTATAAATAAAAAATGTTTATTCTCCCCATTCCTCTATTTTTTTTCCCTCTGTATTGCAGAGAAATTTTACCTTCTAATGGGATATCAGTCTGCTTTCTTACTGAGAGTCACTTTGTTCTGACAGGTCTCTTAGTGGCCATCTTATTGTAGTATCTGTTTCCAAAGAATGTATAGGCAGAGAAACGTCTTTAGAATCCAATGCCCTGAATTCAAGTTCTGTTTTAATAGTTGAGTAACCTTGGATAATCTTTGAGAACTCGTTTGTTTTTTCTTAATCTTGATCTAGGAAATGATCTAATAATACATTTCATGCTTTCCTTTTAACTCTATTAGGAGGACGGGTCACATACGCATCATACATGAAGATAGCTTTTCAATTGCAAATGTTCACAAAAGTTCAATTCTAGTTTAAAATAATCATATTACTGTTATTTATTTACTTCTTACTACCTTGGAATTCATGCAGTACTATTTTATTTCTTACTATAGCTCCCTCTCTTTTTTCTTATAACTTTAACATCCTGCCTATTTTTGGATAGATCTTCCTTCCTCTATATACTTTTCTTCATTCATTCTTAGCCCTGGAAGTCAGCCAAGGTTTCCCTTCGTCACTTTTATTATGACATACCCTTTGGCAGATAGTAAAGATAAACCTCTTTTTATCGCTAAAGTTACACTTAAGTTTCTTTTTACAAGAGAGTGGTTTGGCCTGGTTCTCTAAACACTGAAAACATTATTTCCAACTACACATCAGAGTCAGGTGATTTTCTTGAGCCTTCTGGAACATGTCCTTCCTGTCCCTTAGACCCAGCTACATCCTCTGTTTTTAAATGGAAAGCACTTGGCAAATAGTTAACCCTATTTGCTTTTTGCCAGAGTCCCATTTCATTTTTTAAGTTCTGGATGCAAGTTCCAGAACTATCTGCAGCATTTTCTGAAACATCTTTTAAAACCAGATTACAATATCTCCTTTGTGCACCGTTTCTCCTTGAAGAAAATGACCAGCATTTCTATCCTTGGCTTGCTGAATGGAGTAAAATCAAAGATTTTCCAGCATCCCTGGTTCTTCTACTCTTGATAGAGTTCCCAGAATAAATCCTGCTTCTAAGTGAAAACTCTTGGATGAGAATAAGGGTTTTTAGGAGTTTTGGACTAGATTTTCTTCTTATTCCAAACCATCAGTTAGTTTATATTTAAACATAAGTGAGGCCTGAAGACTTAATGAGTTGAGAAATATTTTGGGATGCCCAGAAAGCAATGATGAAGTTCATGGAAGTATATGCTTTTTAAAAATTGAAGGGAGTACTTTGTGACCAACCAGGTCACTGCTGTAGCAAAATATAAAATATGCCATGGTCAAAGCAGTGATGATTTCTTTTGGGTGGGGTTCCTAGAGATTCCAAGAAGATATCATGATATATGTGAGTGAAACATATCACCAGTGAAGTTCTGTCTGCCTGGCACTAACTTATTACTTGACTTGAGTTGTAGGAGGAACAGACACCTTTACATATTGCCTCCCGCCTGGGTAAAACAGAAATTGTCCAGCTCCTTCTACAACATATGGCTCATCCAGATGCGGCCACTACAAATGGGTACACACCGCTGCACATCTCTGCCCGGGAGGGCCAGGTGGATGTGGCGTCAGTCCTATTGGAAGCAGGAGCAGCCCACTCCTTAGCTACCAAGGTAAGGAGAATGACATGATGACAACATGGACCAAGAGGATTCCTAAGTCATGGTCTTTCTACTCTACCACATACAGAATCAAGAACGTAGATCTCCTTAGGCCTTGACTTACTTCTTTCTCTACATATTTAAGATTCATTGTCTAAATGATTTAAGGGAATTGTGAGATTCCATATATCTTCAATAAAGAGTGCTGAATTTCATTCTAATTAATGCCAATGTTTCTAGGACAGGTATCTAGTACTCTAAGACGATTTTCATAAAGCAAGGACTACTTTTTCTTCTGTTTTTATTATAAAATCTATAATATATTCTTAAGAAAAAGATGAATGAAATTCCTAAATACATTGAACTGGTAATACTAATGAGGAAGAGGGTACTGCATTAGATTGGCAGTACTATATTTGTTGTGAGTTGTAGTACCAGATCGAAGCTCACTTTACTTATGCATTTTTGCAACCCTACTATTAGCCACCACTTATTTGACATTCTCATTCCCATATTAGTTTTCAACGTTACCAACTACACTCTTGCTTGGGTATTTACAGTGTTTAAACAGAGCTGAGCTGGAAAATCACACCTCCTTAGTTGTTATTGACATCGAACAAAGAATTTGACTTATGTTCCAAGTTTCATGACAGGGCAGAGTAATTTTTCCTATGCTTTACACATGCTATTTGACATTCACAATGTGGAGATGACTTAGAATAAAACATGAATATACTCAGCTAATGAGAGCAAAACTGAGCCAGCACACGTGAATTTGTCATGGAGCAAAATAATTCCCACAAATATAACAGCGATTCAGATTAACAAAAGGACAATTTCAATTCTCTCATAATCAGTAGGCATAAGCACTGCATCCAGGGAGAGGGAAAGTTGCAAATATAAACTGAGCTAGTGATGTGGCATCTGTCCTCTTATAAGTAGGAGCAGCCCACTAGCTCTTATGGCTTATCTGGTTGCCTGCTATGACTTACCTGGTTGCCTATGGCTGTGAAAAGTACTTTGATATAAGAAATTGACAATTATTGAAGTTCTGAACTCTGAAAAGTTGAAAGGATTTTAAAAGTTCTTTAAAAAAAAAGAAACTAAGCAACAAATGTAGTAATAACTCGAGAGATTTGGTAATTGTCTTACCAGAGGAGGGTGTAAATCATCAAAATTAAGATACATAAAATACAGAAATAGAAAATAAAACGTAGTCTCTTATCTTTCAAAGATGTTTAGGATTTAAAAAATATAACTATATCCACGGTAAATTAGGGCAATAAAATAGAATAAAATGTTAAACAGCACTTTTTTTTTTTTTGAGTCAGAGTCTCACTCTGTCGCCCAGGCTGGAGGGCAATGGCATGATCTTGGCTCAATACAACCTCTGCCTCCCGGGTTCAAGCGATTCTTCTGCCTCAGCCTCCTGAGTAGCTGGGACTACAGGTGCCTTCCACCACGCCTGGCTAATTTTTTTGTATTTTTAGTAGAGACGGGGTTTCACTGTGTTAGCCAGGATGGTCTTGATCTCCTGACCTCGTGACCCACCCACCTCGGCCTCCTAAAGTGCTGGGATTACAGGAGTGAGCCACTGCACCTGGTCAAACATCATTTTAAGAGTTCAGCTGACTAGGGCTGAACAGTGGTTGATTCATCATTATTAAAGCCATGTAAGTGTTTCTAAATATCAGAGGGTAAATGAAGTCTTGGTGAGATTAACATAAAAGAAGAAGGTAGATGTATGACTCAAGAGATGTCTTCTGACTTTGGTTTTGTTATTCTACAGTAGATTTTATGTAGTTTTGTCTAATAATCATTTCCAAACTTATAGGAGTTGGATCACTATTCTAGCAAGACTTTAAAGATAAGGAATTTATTTTTTCTTCCTCATCACGTAGTTAGTCTCAAAGAACTCTGTTTCATCCTGAATATCACCCTAATCATTGTGTGCCTTGAGTGGGGGGAGGAGAGCTCTAACCACAAGTGCTGGTTTATATGAACAATTCAAGAAAGAAGAAATACTTCCTACCTTTGTCCCACACTTGGAAAAAACCAGAAGATTCACTCTCTTCCAAGAATTTATTAATACCAAATGTTCAAAAAAGAAGCAAAAAGAAAAACGTCATCTCATTTAAAAATAATTTGTCTGGAGACACCGAAAGGGCAATATTGCTTCTTGGGGGATATTCTGTATTTACAATGGGGGTTAAATGGTCCCAGGATAAGCCATAGCTTACAGCACCTAATCCAGCCATATTTGCTATGTGTTTTACAGGCCCTGGTCGGTGTTAGAATTCCCCTACTCCCACTGTAGTGCCAGAAGAGCATGTGGTTAAACTGTCTGGCCAAGAGGATGGATTTGACATCATGGTGTAGGAACTGTGCCATCCTCGAGATCTTAGTCCAGAGACTTATCTGTATTTATAAGACACTGCTAATTACAGAGCAAGGCCATTGGTTAGGCACGGAAGACACTGAATGTACACATATCAACATGTGTAGGAGAGCAGCCCTCTGAAAAAAAGCTTTAAAGCTTTGGTGTGTTTAAACTCTGGTGTTAATCAGCCCAACATCATGCCAGGAGTAGAATGTGTTTTACAAAAGCAATTGGTCTTCTAGGCAGTGTGAGTCTTCTGGGAAAGGGGACAAGTCAGGATGGGAGTTGCTTTATAATAGTGCATGTTTTTTGTTCTATAGACCATTTATCTTGCCATTTCTGCAGAAAATATGTCAATTAATTCACAAATACTTGTTTTTACTATGGCTGCCAAAATATCCTAAAATTTAAATGAATTTGGAATTCAGGTGTTACAAAAAGGATTGCAAGAAAGAGAAGGAGGGTTGGAGAGAAAGCAGCTGTTGTTTCAAGTCTATTAATTTTAGAGGCAGGAAAAAGATTTTTTTCCCCCATTCACAAATTGGAGCCAGTTTACTGACACTGGTGGCTTTTAAAAATCCCAAACCTATAAAGTCAGATTTCGGTCTCCAAGCCCTTAAAATAAAATTTCTGTTGTTCAGTCTATCAAGCCAAACTTTTGTATGTTAAATTTTATTCTTTTTCTTTGTCCTTGTTCATGGCTAACAGATATAATGCTACCAGTATTTTTTCCAAATGAAGAATCAGTATAGTTTGCTTAATATGTTAACAGATAAAAATATTTTGTGAGGCGTTACAATAATAAATACGATTTTACTTTTTCTCACATTTTCAGAAGGGTTTTACTCCCTTGCATGTAGCCGCCAAATATGGAAGCCTGGACGTGGCAAAACTTCTCTTGCAACGCCGTGCTGCCGCAGATTCTGCAGGGAAGGTAAAGATTTTCTATACGTTATAATTATGTAACAGTCAAGGTGATAGATTAGGAGATCTGTAAAGACATTTTTCTCACTTCTCTGAAAGGAATGTGAGAGCACCTGATGAAACTATACCAAATAGACATGGTGGCGATGCCTTCCATGACCGTCCATGTACACACTGATTCAGAAAGCATTTTGAGCTGTGCCTCAAAGTCTTGTCACAACAGCCCCAGAAGTCTCTATATTAAGAAGGATCCCTGCAATGTTAATGTAGTCTTTCTTACATAGCAGTTTAGACCTTTATACATTGTGACCATCAAGATGCCCTTTGCTGGTGGTATGCTCATTTTCAATTTTAGTTATGTTTTTAATATGAAAATTATTGGGGCTTTTATTTTCATTCTTTTTTCTATTGACTATATTAATTCATTAACATGAATGTAATCAGCATCAGTTTCCAGGCATCCTGGTAGCTTCAGGGCAGCTAACCCTAATTTATTAATGCTGAAACTTAAACACACCCTTTACAGAATGGCCTTACCCCGCTCCATGTTGCTGCTCATTATGACAACCAGAAGGTGGCGCTGCTGCTACTGGAGAAGGGTGCTTCCCCTCATGCCACTGCCAAGGTGAGGACCACAGAAAAGGATTTACAGACATAGGGTGTAACTATCACCTGAAAACACATGAGAATTGTCTTTTAAACACATGATATAGTATAACTGCGACTAGTTCTGGCGCTAGTAGTTTTGGTATTGAGACCCTTTTTTTCCCCTTGTATTTCCACCAGTTGCGTCTAGAAAACCTTTTTTAAGATTTTTAAAGAGTCAGCAAATATTCAGGGGATGTGCCTGTAAACCAGCAGACATGAATCTTATTGCTAACATTCTGTGTGTTAGAGAATGAAGTCTGAATTTTGAGAAATGAGAAGTAAAGTCATTAACATGTTTTCCCTTCTCTCCTATAAACCACATGCTGTGATTAAAATGTCCTTTTATAATCTCATTCTTTCAGACTTCAAACTTCTATTTGTTTCTTTTTTTTTTTTTTTTTTTTTAATGTTTTACCTGTGTTAACTGTAGCATGGATCCCTCTAAGTCCCTAGACTCGGGGGTGGCGTGGGGGGATTCCTTTTTGGTGTACATCTAGCACCAAATTCCGAAACAGCTCCAACTAAGACTTGTACTTACGGACAGGGCATTTTCCACCATTCTAGTTGGCCCCTTATTAAACTGAAAATATATATGAATGTCGTATAATGCATAAAGTCCTCACTGCGTCTTTCGTTCATTAACTCAGCACACCTATTTTGAGAACACGTCAGGGTTTATTTAAAAAATATTGATCGTAATGGGAAAATATGTATGCTATATTAGACAACATAATAAAACAACTGCCACCATTTATTTGCCAAACACTACGCCGAGCACTTTACAGCAATATCTCATAATAACCCCATGAGACTGGTATTCTAATGATCTCCATTTTGCAGATGAGAAAGTGAGATTTAAGTAGGTTAATTTTCCAGTCATCTGAATAATATGTGTTAGAGCTTGTACCTGGGTTTGACCTCAGGCAGACTGACTTTAGAGCTGATGTTCTTAACCACTAGGTCCTTTGTGTCCCAAAGCAATAGAGAGAGATTTATTCCATTCTATTATACAAGTATATACATATATACTCATATGCCTATTTAAATTATGCATATTATAAATATAAAATAGGATATATACAAAAATATGTTCTGTATAATATATATTTATATATAAATGTTATATATAATATACATATATAACTTTGTACACATACATACCTATACATCTATATATATTTATATCTTTTTGATGCCAATAAACAGTTTACAATAAAGTACTTGAACTGTCAAAAGAGGATGCCAAATGTTCATAATTATCCACAGTGTTCTTATTCCTCTTTTTTCTACAATCTCATAAATTCTACACATATTTTATGTCTTTCTTCACACTACTAGAGTAGTGTTCATATCATATTCATTTGCATATCTATGAGGTGTTTAATAACATATGTGAGTTCCCAATAAATTTGCATGAAAGAATGAAGATTGAGCAACTATGGAATAAAAATATACCTGCTCACTTAACATGGCAGCATTTTTTTTTTCGTTAGCTTTCCAGGCTGACCATTCTCAACATAGATACAAAAGACTTCATCAGTACTCATGAGTACTTTCATTGAACTCTTATGATGTGCAAAGAAAGGATTGTAGGTACTCAATGGGAGGTAAAATTGTAAAACGTGTGTTCTCTTTCCACAAGGAACTCTGAATCTACTTGCAAGAGAAGACCTAGATTATAAATTAATGTGTATGGTTTTCCTAAAGAGACAAGCATAGCCTTGATTTCTACCCTCTACCTTGTATGGTCCTTAATCTTAGGCATGCATATACCGAGTTCAGACGATGATGTAAAGCATTTCTCTACTCCAGAGTCCACAGTAGGATGGGTATTCTGGGAATGCCTCTCTAGTGTCTTTCACTTATCTGCCCCAGCCTGTCAATGAACATGAGCCCTTCATCTTTGGGGCAACTCCTAGAGGTCTCCAGATGGTAAGATCCCCATGGTAGTCTCCACTTTAGACTCTCTTTCTGCTCATTATAATGTCCCCTCTCCTCAACACGCATGGTCCTTTGGCCACGAGAACTTTGCTTCTTTCCACCAGAGTCCAGAACCTTCTCTTAGTCTTTATTGGGAGTGCTGCAATTACTTGAGTCCCAAAATGTTTCCTCTTTGTGGAGTAAGAGGGCTTTTCAGATCTTGTATGTTGAGTATCTACCAGACAAACCTCCTCCATTGCCAGAATTGACACCTTCTTTGATGGTCGCTTATGTTGTTTTGCTAAAATGTCCCTTTACCTGACCTTAGTAGAGCCCATGCTGTAGGCAGGGGGGTAATTGAGACTAAAGAAACACATTGTAGCAAAAAGAATTTGACTAAACTTACTTGGTCCACAAAAATCTATGTGTCCTTTTTTTCAATAGAGTCTATGGACACAAATACAATATTTTGAAGCATCCGGGACCTCTGATCAAACCCTGAAAAGGCTTCCAAGCTGAATTTCCTTCAGTTGCTTCAGGAGAAACATTATTTGTCAAAAATGAAAGAGACTTATTCTTGCTTAGAGAAATGGGGACAGAGTAGATAATGTAGGGTTGTGTGAGAATCAAGATTTGATGATGGCTCATAAAGACATTTACATTCTCAAAACACTTTTTTATTTTTTGGTACACTTTGCAGTTAGCTTTAAGGAAATAGTATGACATAAAAATACCTCTCATGTTTGATTACAGGCTCAAGCCTGTACTCCCAGCACTTTAGGGGCCAAGGTGAGCAGATTGCTTGAGCTCATGAGTTTGAGATGAGCCTGGGCAACATGGTGAAACCCCATCTCTACCAAAAATACAAACAAAATTAGCTAGTCACAGTGGTGTGTGCCTGGAGTCCTCGGTACTTAGGAGGCTGAGGTGGGAGGATCACGAGCCCAGGAGGTGGAGGTTGCAGTGACTGAGATGGCACCACTGCACTCCAGTCTAGGTGATGGAGCCATACCTTGTCTCAACAAATAAATAAATAAATCATCTCATGGTAATCTCACAAGAAGCACTTGATCATTATGCTGTCTTTCCCTTCAGCATGTCGCTGAGGGGAAAAGCCACAGTTAATGGCAAAGACGCTGTTGTTAATTTCTATCACACATTTCAAATGGAAAATTCTACCAGATTTGATAAAGAAAAGGAAATGAAACAATATATATTGCAGACTTACAGTTGTTCCACATTTTTTTTTCTTTTAATTAAGTATGGGGTTTAGAGTTTTGTTCTTGTAAGCAGAGTATAGTTATCCTGACCCTCTCCACAAACTCCCACCCAAAATGAGTAGCCTCATATTTCTACTTTTGAAGCAGCAAGTTATGAAGAAGGGGAGATCTAGGATTTGAATGGACCACAAAACTAATATAAGCTAATTTTGTTGTTGAATATATTTTAAATTAGAATTGAACCCATTAAAGACAGGGATCATGTCATGTTCACCATTGCATTCCCACACCTAGCACACTGCTTGGCATATGCTAGGCACTCAGTAATATTTGTTGAACCAGTTTAAAGTACAATCCAAACAGAAGCGTATTAGTTGGAGTATTATAATAAGATAATAGAAATAATTCCATTTGATTCTTTATGTTATAAACATATGTGAAGTGTAGCCTTGGTTCCAGACAGCACATACAATTCAAGAGCAATATTGGCAAACTAGAATCAGCTCAGAACAGAACATCCTTATAGGGAGAGATCTAGAAATGGCACTTCCATCAGGAATGGTTGAAGAAATGGAGAAAATTAGCCTGGAAAACAGAACACTAAAGGTGGATATGAAAATCATCCCCAGATATTTAAAGGATGGTCATGTAGAAGAGAAACCTGGCTTATTCTATGTTGCTCTTCAGGAGAGAAGCAATATTATAAGGAGAGAGTTTTCAGCTTTGGAGCTTTGATGTCTGTATCTGTCTCAGAGTAGAATGGGATACCTTGTGACTTTTATTGTAGAGATTTGGTTATTGTTGAATGGAAATGGGATGACTAAGAGTTTGGATTAACTGTAAACTCACTTTTAACTCTTCTGTTGATTAGAGATTTTTATTTCCTTTAGAGATACATATTAGAGCAATTGTTAATCTTACCCTATATGCATGTGTTTTATTTTTGTCTTTTTTAGAATGGCTATACTCCTTTACATATTGCTGCCAAGAAGAATCAAATGCAGATAGCTTCCACACTCCTGAACTATGGAGCAGAGACAAACATTGTGACAAAGCAAGGAGTAACTCCACTCCATCTGGCCTCGCAGGAGGGGCACACAGATATGGTTACCTTGCTTCTGGATAAGGGCGCCAATATCCACATGTCAACCAAGGTATTCTGTCATTTCTTGCTTCAATCAAGAGTGTTTTGGACACATGTAAAGAGTAATCAATCACAGATAGTTTGGAACAAAAAGGAGCAATATATTAAAAAGAAACAGGGATATCTTACAGACCCCAAGGACAGGAAGGGAGTCAAGCCTTACGAGAGATTAGAAAACCATAAGGAAGCAAGGGAGAGAGACTCTCTGTATGGCAACATTTTGGCTTCTTGACTTTTCTATGCAAGTCAGTTCCATTCATCTCTATAGCCCCGCTTTCCTTGCATCTCTGTGTGTGTCTAAAGAGGCTACCCTGTAGCTCCCAATGTTAACATCACTATAATTGCTCCAGTGTCTGCTGCTCCTCATTCTAAATTTCAGATATATACATATAGAGGAAGAATGGTTCCATCTGGGGTTGTAGCTTAAACAACTGCCTCTAAGCTGGAAGGCCCATGTCCACCACCCAGGGCATTCTTCAGTCTTGCTGGGCATCTGAGGTACCTCTGGATAGTAGAGAGGAAACACAATAAAATACAGATTTTTTGAGTCAATGTAAGCCTAGCTTGAGAGGTTTGGTAGTGGTTGTGAGAAAATCTTTTTTGTTTTTTTAATAAAGCACATCAGTCATTTTAGCCTTTCTCCATGGACTGGCCTCTGTAGACCTCCACATTAATTATAATAGAATGGCAGTCAAAGATACAAGGGAAAAAATTCACATATAAAAATATACTTTTTTTACAAGTATATGTCTTTTGATACATCTATCCATCCATCTACATAAAGATCTATAGATCTATCTAACTTTCTATCTTACACTTATATAAATATACTCTGCTATAGCCAGCTGCTGAGAAACACAGAATTGGAAACTGTGTTTATTAAGTTAGTTTGTCATTTGGTGTCTTGATGCTTTTTGTAATACGTTATATGGGCTTAGTGAAAATTAAGTTTCTTAGCTCTTTCCATAAATATACAAATACTCTGTGTTTTCTACATTTCACTGTTAATTGCTACTTTTAAAGTATCAGTGATAAGTTGGTTTTAACGACATTCGTAAATAGGTTATGTAGCATGCATCCTTTAGGAAGAGCTATGAAACAGGCAGGTTGCCTTGAATATTTCTGCAGTCCTAGTCTATTTCTTTGTCACTCGGAAGTGTTCCTGTACATCCGCTGCCCTTACTTACTTCTCTGGCCTTTATAAAAAGTCTCCATAAATCCTTTTTTAAAGTATGATGAGAGCAAATTATAGGGTTAGTCTTCCAAAGGATAGTTGCATTTTTACAAGAATGAACACGATAAAGCCTTATAGTGAAATTCAGTGTATTAGATGGACAATCATTACAAACTAGGGCATGGACGTCCTTGTGACTATTGACGTCATGTCGTTCAGGTAGTCATTTACCCTGTTGGAGAAAAATCTGATCTTGAAGCATAGAATATTTTATTTAATATTAGTGTATGAAGGGGGCATATGTTTACTCTATTAATAACAAATAAATCTTCATTTGAAAATAAGCCAAAGAAATCCATAAACAATTCAGCAGTATTTTGAGTAGGATTAAAGTTCAGATAGTTCATGAAATGGATCTTACAGTGTTTCTGATGGTGTTATTTTTAATTTATAAAAATGACAGGTACATATCTGAAATCAGTTCACTATGTCTTCCTTTATGGTATTCTTCTAAATATATTACTTTGTTTGAGAGAGTTTTAGCAGTTAACAAATATTTAATGAGTATTTTTGAGTTGCACACTCAGCAATGAAGAAAAACATTCAATTTTGAATCACAAAGTAATTTTGTTATCTTTATAACAATGATTTCAGTAGTACATTTGAGTGGTGTCCTAAACACATAGTATATTTATCACTAAAGTAAAACTTTAGTAAGTTTGTGCAGATATATCTGAATAATAATACAATATATAAAATTTACATATAAAACATATAACCTTGCCTTTTGGTTAGAATTATAAGATAAAGCAACTATAAAAATATCTCAGAGGAGAAGCAAAACTGGTAAAAAACTTTCCCATTGCTTTTGAAGAAAACATACATTCTTTTCTTTTTAAGGCCAGCTGATATCAATAATTTCATATTCTCCAAATGATTATTTCACATGAAGAACTATAATTTCATATTTTCACGTGAAGAACTATAATATAGAAATGATATCATTATCCAATCACCATCTATCATAAAATAAAACCAAAAAAGATCAGTTGTTGAGTCCACCAGTGTGTCTTAGGAAATAAATTACTTTTTTTTGAAAAGAACTGCTTCAACACTTCCTATTTTCTTGATTTATTAGAAAAGTTTTTTTTTTTTTTTCCCAGAAACCTTTCAAACAGTGTTTTTCCTCTATTCTCACACTACCGCACAACAATCATCAACACAGAAGGCTTCTGGGACCAAATGTGTAGAGGTTTTCCCCACATACTGAGCAGCACACACCAGCTGGGTGTCCTCCAATTCAGTTCCAGCACTGTCTATCTGGAGAGAGTGTTAGATCCCTTCAGTTGAGGGCTCAGTCCCCAAGACTGCCCTCTGCACTGACACTAATCACAAGTCTGGGCCTCTGAACTTCTGACTGACTGGCTTCAAGTTGGGGTTCCCAGGACACTCCCTTTGAGTTCCATTAACTCACTGGAGTGGCTCACAGAGCTCACAGAAACACATTTACAGTGCTTACAGTTTCTTATAAAGGCTATTACAAAGGATGAAGATGAAGAGACACATAGGGAAAGGTATGAGGGGAGGTACACAGCTCCCATGCCCTTCCCGGGAGCACCACCCTGCACAAGGAAGCTCCCTGTGTTCAGCTATCCAGAAGCTCCCTGAACCCTGTCCTCTGGGATTTTATGGAAGCTTCATGATGTCAGCATTCATTCCCCCAGGGTATAGGGTGGGACTCTCTCTCTCTCTCTCTCTCAGGAGGGTCTTATGACCCATGAATGCTGCGGAGAAGATTAGAGCCTAGCCTTGGGGAAAGCGAAAGGAGACTGGGGAAGGTGGGAGATATTTTGTTTCCTGAGGCCTGCCCCTGACGCCTAAAACGCACAATATTATAACAAAAGACTATAGTAAGGGCTATGGGAGTTATGAGGCAGCAACTGTGGACAAAAACCTATATTCACTGCAGTTTACATCCTTTGATTTGGCTATGCAAGTTTACCACAATAAACTGCAGAGATTTTCATGCTGGTTGTTAATTTGTAATCTTGCATGGCAGAAAATCCATTCTGCAAATAGAGTAGAAAGAAGCACACATATTTAAAAAGTCATCAAAAATATCTTTGAGATTTGATGATCACAGCATGTAATGATCACTTCAATAACATTTTTAAACAGACTATCTCTGTAAAGAGAAATATTCTTATGTTTGTTATTTTAGTAAGGAGAAAATTAAGATAAGATTCTTGTTTTATCCTAATATTCAGATTTTTTATACATTAGGACTAAATAATATTTGTTTAGAAGAGATGAAAATTTTAATAGAAAATGATACACCTTCTATCTCACCCTGTATTTTATGAAACTCAAAGTTGAGCTCACCCAGAGCTCTCAGGATTAAAAAGCCCCAGGCCCACAAGGAAAAAGCCTCCTCTCAAGTTGTAGAATGGTTTTCTCTCTGTAGGTTTCACTTACATTTTTGAAATAAGGTCAATGTACTTTTTGATTTCCAGAAGTAGCACCATGACTGGAGATCATGAATTTTGAAGAACATGGCTTAGCTTTCTCAGCCTAAGTGCTAATGCAGGAGAGTGGGCCTGAAAAGTTGTGGCCAACAGGGCTGGTCCATTTTTATCAGATGTAAAGTGGGGAAGAGGTGCTGACTCAGAGTCCAGGTAGCCACCTCAGTCTATAGCTGCAGGATGTCCAGGAAGAGCATAAGTATAGTAGGCATTTGAACAATAGTGAGGGGAGAGAAATATACAGTATAAATATACTGTAGGCTAGAATGTAAGCTCTATAGAGACAGAAACTTTTGTTCACTGCTGTATTCGAGTGCCTAGAATATGAACACTTCATGACATATGAAACATACTCAAGAAAACACCTATTAAACATGTAAATGATGTAGTAAGGCTACCCGAGTGTGGCATTGACTGAATAAGCCACTTTCCTCCCTCTTTTCTCCATGCCTTCCTTTTTTTTATTATTAATTCATAACTGTACTTTAATTGGATATTCAAATAAACAAAATAATTACTTCATGTATGTATACCAAACATGTTGCATAAAACTGGGCAGTTTGTGGTGCTCTGTAAATAATGAGGTTACTTTAAGGTAACATTTAACGGAACCTCCTGAAAAGTGTACTCTCTTTTGGTGCTAGAGAAAGTTTTTCTGAACTCACTTCCTGTAACTGTCCATTTTTTACAATGATGTAATATTTTGTTGATAAACTATAAATGATTATTATGCTTATAGGTGTAATAGTTGGTTGATCAGTTATTTAAATAAAGAAGTTGGTACAGCAGGAGATCCAGATGGCTTTGAAATAAATATCATTTGAAAGCTTATTAGCTGTGCTAGTTTGAAGTCTCACATCATAATATAAGAACCTAATATAGAAAATGTAATTTACCTTATGTGTTGATTGACTTGGAGGACATGTCTTAGATGAAATGTCATTAATTTAGAGAATTTACCTTAAATATCAGAAGATACAGTTTCTGGGAAGAGGCTATGAGTTTTCCAGGATTTTTTCAGTATTTTCAATGTATTTTCATAATATTACAGATGATGCAATACATTTTCTTCTTCAAATGTATCCCTTTGGTTCCATTCTTTCTGTAGAGCGGACTCACATCCTTACACCTTGCAGCCCAGGAAGATAAAGTGAATGTTGCTGATATTCTCACCAAGCATGGAGCTGATCAGGATGCACATACAAAGGTAAAGCAAATCGTTCTCAATATTGTGACGGGTTCGGGATGGGATGATTCCCAGTAGCCCCCATTCGGGTCACCGCATGTCCAGGGTCTTCCCTCCTCAAGAGTCTGTTCTGAAATGTAAACTAATCATAACCCTCTCCTATGCACAAATCTATGATGGCTCCCCATTTTTTTGCTGGAATCAAGTCCAGTGGATAGCATGGGGTCAGGACCCTTTGAAGAAAGACTCCAATTTTTGCAACCTTAAGTCTACCCTCTCTCTTACTGCTTTAGCTAGTTCACATGGGGAGTTGCCGTGTTCCTCCTTGTCTTGTCTCCATGCCCTTGGTCTGGAAATGGATTTTCCGTCTCTAAGCCATAAAATTCTTACCCATTCTTTAAGCCTGCTGTAGCTACATATTTCCTGCATCTCCTATCAGAGTCATTCTGTCTTTGCTGTTTTCAGATATTATTTGTGCCCCTCTCTTAGTTCTTTGCAGATTAAGTCACCCACATCTGATCTCTCTCGCTGATATGAAGTTCCTTGTGGTCAGGGGTACATGTATAATCTGTTAAATAATATCTTTAGTCAAATTGAATCCTACAATAACCGATACTCTACCCAGCCCTTCTCCTCTGGGATGTTAACCACTAGAGTAGTAAAGTTTCTACTTTTTCTATTTTTAACTTTTTATTATTATTTACAGCTTGGCTACACACCTTTAATTGTGGCCTGTCACTATGGAAATGTGAAAATGGTGAACTTTCTTCTGAAGCAGGGAGCAAATGTTAACGCAAAAACCAAGGTAAAGTACTTGTGGTCATTTTCAATTACTCTAAGTAAAAAGGTTCAGCCATCTGGATGCTTCACTAGTTTACCAAAGCTACAAGTGTATTTTTTCTTCCTTTTTAGTTCTTCTAAAGTGATTTTGAAGAGGTGATGTAGTTTTGTAATTATTTGAGAATTTTCATTCTGACAACCTTTGACAGCCATGCAGGTTAGCTTCAGAACTGTTTCTATTATAAAGTTAAAGTAGCTGACATCAATTTAACAACTTACTGCAGGATACAATAGATGCCTGCTAGAACATCTTGATGTTCTGGCAGATTTTCTTTACATTGTTTGAGGACCTCGGCCCCCCTCCCCTGACCTCTTATCCTCTCATGCAGAAATACAGACAGGCAGCCTAGACTGCATGCCTTTCATTTTTAATGAACTCTGTCACATTCAGAACATCACGTGGACATGCTCAGTGAGGCAATAATGTATAAGGCCTGGGCTGGAAGTTCTCAAGGATAATGCAGAGCTGACTTGATCCCAATAGTTTCCCCAGCGGCATTCAAAAGGTCCTATTCGGCAAAGCAACCTTGGAACATAACACCTCACTTCAGTGCCCTCAATTTGGTTCAAGGTGAAGAGAAGTTCATACTATAACTGTGGCCATTATGCATAATATAACTTGCAGCTCCAAGTTCTTTGATCCAAAGAAATATTTATTTGCACATTTATTTAAGTTCATATATCAGAGATTTATTTTTCTTTTTGTTTTGAGACAGGGTCTTACTCTGTTGCCCAGGCTGGAATGCAATGGCACGATCAGAGCTCACTGCAGCCTAGAACCTGGGCTCAAGTGATTCTCTTGCCTCAGTACTGACTAGGACTACAGGTGCGTGACACTATGCCCAGCTAATTTTTAAAAGTTTTTGTAGAGATGAGGTTTCACTATGTTGCCTAGGCTGGTCTCGAACTCCTGGGCTCAAGCGAAATTCTCCCACCTTGGCCAACCAAAGTGCTGGGATTACAAGTGTGAGCCACCAAGCCTGACCCAGAAATTTCTAATTGCAGCAATTTGAATGAGCTCAAGTAAATTAGTGTGAGAACATTCAGGACTTTTCAAAGCCATCAATTCAAGATTCTACAAATTAAAAATATACGGAAGTTTTATAAGTCAGTCTTTATATTAGAAGCAGAAACAAAATCATTTCTATACATAAGCATGTTTATAGCTAATTTAAAATTAACTGATTTTTAAACTATAAATAATACTATTAACATTTAAGATTTAAACCTACAACCTAACTCTAGCAAGAATAGCTGCTGCCTAGTTTCTGGCCAGTTCTTAAGTTCTCATGAAATTGTACTTTGAGACTTATTTAAAACCTCTAATATGAATTCTCAGGCAGTAGCTCCTAAAGCCTTTTCTGCTGAGCCAGCTCGCATATAAGCACTCCAGGAAAGACATTTTTGTTGGAATCCAAGTATTCTCTTGAAATGAACAAATGCAACAGTATAGCGAGATGTTGGCAGGGCTTGAAAATGCTTATTGTATTTTTAAATGTTTCATTGTTTAAATGCTTATAATATTTAGAAGGCAAACACTATATTGTCTAGAGAATATCAATGGTCTCCCTGGAGTTTGACCTGCATTGAATGAAGATTTGATTGAAAGAAAAATTTCATTTTATCATTTCATTTTTTTTGTTTCGTTTTTTAAGTGAACTGAGTTGCTTGCACTGTTACATTTGGAACCACATATCTTCAGGGAAATAGATACAAACCTCAAAAGACAGTCTTTTAATAAACTCTTCATATTTTTTTTCACATCAAAATGGCATCTTCGGGAAAGGAATTAGGTTTTCTTCCTCATATCTTATGTGTAGCTGTAGTTACTAAAAATGGATTCATTGCTTTAAAAATGTAAACATATATATTAACTTTACTCTGTAAACTCTCATGATGTGGTATGAAAGATTTGGCAGAATGAACTTGTTTTATAAGACTATTCATTGCTTAAAATTAGAAGGAAACCCTGTTACAGCAGCTTGGGACAAACCAGACCTGGTTAATCACATATTTAATTTGTGAAGAGGGTTTAGAACAGCACATGAAAATAAAGACACTGAAGATTATAGAGCTCTTCGATGAGGAAAAAAAAGAAAAAAAACACACACACACGAAAGTGTTTGCTAAAATTTTCAAAGCTAGAAAAGAAAACATATTCAAGAGCAACTTGTCTGATCCTTCATCAAACTTGAAATCTTGGCCATCTTCATTTTTCAAATGAGAAAACTGGGGCTTAGAGAGGATTAAGGGTCTGCAAATAATTGGTAGCACTGGGTCTACAGCTCCTGGCCAGATGGGCCTATGACAGTGGATTAAGAATCAACCAAATGTTTATGTAAACACTTGAATTGCTCCAGACTTCCCTGGCAAATATCCTCACTGGAGATTTCAGGTAAAGGTTAGATTAAATCAGGGCTGGGGAACATTTTTGTGGCCACAATGTCCACTGATCTATTGAGGGCAAGAATGTTGCTTTGGCATTATTAATTTACATATATTTATAGAGAATTTACATTTATTTATATATTATAGTGATATATTATTTTATTAATTTACATGCTAAGTTATTTAGCACATAGTGTGTGATTAGTAAAAGGTGTTGAATGAATTAACTTGGCTGATACTAAAGAGATGAACTAAATTCAGTGGATTTAATGGATGTAAACACAATGAAAAGGAAGAATTTTTACGAAAAGAAGTGTCACCTAGTGTATTCTCCTTAAACGTCCGTGGATTATTTGATTTGACAGCAGAGTCCCTGTAATAGCCAAAGGCTTCTTGGAGTCCCTGTAATTGATTTATATTTTCAGGTTTCCTGGGGTCATCCCATTGTAGGAATTTATAAGGATATGTAAGACTTCCAACATGACAAAGCTGAGGATGTGCCACACTTAGAGACACTGAGGTAGACCCTGATACGTATGGGCATGTTCCTATGGGCAGACAGAGTGCAGTGAATTTATAGAAGAAATCATGTAGCACCCACATATATAGTAGACAGGACAAGCAAGTATGTATGTTGCTTATAGGGCAGCAGTGACATTGGATGAAAGGGATATGTACACTTAAAAGCTTAGAGTATGAAAGTGCCACTCAGAACTTAGAGCCCAGGACAATTGGGTCTGAAACATATAGATAACATTTTATGAGAAGTGAAGCAGGTGGATTTTAATAAATAATAGCCATTGTCTGGTAGCCATTGGCTGTCATGGTCTTCTGCACAGGATCTGAACCTCGCCCGATTGTGGGGAAATTACTTAACTTTCTTATTTTCAGTTTCATCATGTCTGAAATGGGGAGAAAAGCTGTTCTTGGAAAGGAATGTAAGATTTAGATTTACTTTCAATGATTTAGAATCCCTAAAGCTAAGCCAAAGGTTAATAATTGGGAGAGTCATGATGAACAAGCAGTGGTTTATATGACCGTCTGCAGCCTTCAGTTAAAAACAATTTTACTCTTGTTTCCCAGGGAAGAAATCACAGGGATAATGCTCCTTCTTATTTTAAATCTCTCCTCCCAGCTTAGATGTGAGCAGAAGTCGACTGCACCCACCCCCTTCACCTTCTTAAGGGAGCCCTCCTTTTTAATGCTAACTGGTTAAAATGTATTAATACTTATCATTTGGAGTCTGTTAAGCTTGTTTCATCAGCTGGTCTCTTCTCTTTGCTTAGCAGACCATAAGGTGTGAGGGAGTGTTTGCTGCTGAGAAATGGGCTGCTGATAATCTTGGGCTCCAAATAAAGCATCCGTGATGGTTTTGTTGTAAATAAGACTATTCACAATGAAGGCTAACCTAATTTTCCTCTCCCTCTGCAAATCGGGTGCTGGGCCCGCCGCCACTGTCCTCCACAGAACGGCTACACGCCTTTACACCAGGCCGCGCAGCAGGGTCACACGCACATCATCAACGTCCTGCTCCAGCATGGGGCCAAGCCCAACGCCACCACCGCGGTAAGGCAGACGCCACTGCCCCTCACCACGCTTTCTTCTTTTTCCTCTCTTGACCTGGTGGCTTCGTGTCTGAGCTGAGTGAGGTCAGATTCCTCCTCTTTAAATAAGACCCCTGGACTCTGGAAAGCCCCAGATTTTTGGGCAGACTTTCCAGAAGTCAGTGTGACTTCCCCAGAAGTGCTTGCCCTGGGAGGAAAAGCAGTCAGCCTGACTCTTTGGCTCTCTCTGGAGAGGGGGGCCCTCCGCTTGGGCTGCTGGAACGTGCTCTGCTTACAGCTGGTTCTCAGATGTGAGCACGAATTGACCCCCCTCGCCTTCTTAAGGGAGCACAGTAAGGGAGCTGCTGGCTTAAACAAAGCTCATTGGGTTGTGGAGCCATTGAAATGTAAACTAAGCGGTGCAATTAAACGAACTGGGATCCCGAGTGGCCTGGGTTGGATGCAGCCTGAATTGCTTGCTTGTGTTATTTTGCTGCACAGTGAGTTTCTCCACAGCTGTAGCTAAATATGTTACCGTGTTCCCTACGGTAACATCTTACCTGCAGCAGATGGCCTGGCCTCTGATGAGGAATGAGTGTACCTGGTACTTGCTAACAGGTTTTGGAGGCGTCGTGAGGCACTTTCTTAAGCGCAATACAATATTTGTAGAAGATACTTGACAACCTTAGGGTTAAAGCGTCAAGTGCTTCTTATTAAAAAGAGCAAGCAGATGCAAGCTTGTTGTGTTACCATGGTGACCTGGGCTATAGTCTGAAGAAGTTACAAAGACAGATTTAGACGTAATGGTAAAAACTAGTGATTTTCCTAAGCTGTGCCTTGTTTTGGAAGGAAATGCTGGCTCATGCAGAGCAGCGGGTGAGCTCATTGGCTCACATCGCAGTCCTCTCTCTTATTTCTCACTCTCTTTCTTTCACTCTGTCCTCAGAATGGCAACACTGCCTTGGCGATTGCTAAGCGTCTGGGCTACATCTCCGTGGTCGACACCCTGAAGGTTGTGACCGAGGAGGTCACCACCACCACCACAGTGAGTATAAGTGACTGATTAGCTTCAGCCCTGTTATCTTCGTTTTCAAACTAAATACACGTACAGTACTTTTTCACTCACAAGATGTTTGGGGCTTTTAGTTTTGAACTTCTTTTTGTTGAATGTATTGTAGCACATACATAGGAGTATGCAGAAGTAAATGAATTCACACAAGGAACACAGGGCTTCAGCTTCCTTTACTCAGCATCTATCCCTATAAAATGTGTGAATATAGTTTTATAATATTTAATTCCTTTTTCTGTGACTGGTTTCTTACTTTCTGGCTCCTCTGCCCTTTTCCTTTAGTTGTGTATGACACCTACCGCTGGCAAAGCGGTACCACACTCCACTGCAAACTTCTTATCTTAGCCAGGAGGTCAGGCCAGCCTCTGGAAAGACCCTGCTCCTCCCAACACTGTGCTCACGACTGGATCACATGAACTCCCAGTGAGAGCAGTTCATCCTTACTTTGCATCTTATTTCTGATTATTATTTTTTAATTCAAAAAGAGAATTCCTTGTGCTTACTAGCTAAATTGTGCCTGTATAGTAAAAACGTATATTTTAAGATTTTTTTATTTTCTCTGTTTTGAATACAACTGCTGACTCTTCATGACAAATCAGTGATTATTACTGGCCTCTGCTAGAGAAACTCTAGAACAGTAAAGACCATGATAATACTGAGTCCTAATGCTCCGGTACCATTCAGTGGGAGCAAAGTTTAAAGGAGGCCTCTTCAGAGGGGGCTCCTACCTGAAAGTGGAAGTGCTGTTACATTTGCATTTATTCACTCACTCACTTTCTACTTTAAGCATGAATTAAAGAATGGCTCTTTAATTTATCTTCGTAAAGTAGAAAAGTAGAGGAACAGTCAGACATGAGAAGCTCTTCAAAGACAGTAAGACCACAAATGAATAAATAATTCTGAAGGAGGTTCTAGTAAATGCTCCAAACTAAAAATGCATATAGAGTTTGAAATGCTTGTTTTTTTTGACAGATGTGAGGAAAAAGAAAGGAATTTTGCTCTTCAGGCTGACAGTACGTTCCTGTTGACATACATCGAAGTGATGGAATACAGTTGGTTTAATGTGCAGTTTTAAGCAGAGTGGCCTATGATTTATTAATGAGCTTCAAGACACAAACTGAATTTAGATGGGAGAAAATAGCACTGCTTGTTTTCTGAGGCAGAATCTTAAAACCTTTGGCCAGTGCACCACAATATTTTTAAAGATTTAAAGTATAGCTTTAATAAATTATATAAGAGAAAAACAGGTCTTGTCACTGCCTGGCACCATACTTGTAGGTCACTATATTTAATAGTTTTTTCTTACTTTATGATTTCTTATACCAGGAATATCTTCATATTAAGGGCCTACACATATATACCGCTTCATCTGATATCTTTAAAACAATGTGTACATCACAATACATGAAGCCTCTAGTGGCAAAATTGGCCAAGCACACCTGTTCTGCCATTAGAAGTCATGTTTTCTCTCAACTTTATTACTTTTTCCCTGCTCTGGGAATAATGTATGTTTATTTTACCAAGTTATCACTAGATGGCAAGCTTGTATCTCTTGTTATCTTGTACCTACTTTGCTTCCATTCATTTCATTAACTGATTTATTCCTTCATTATTTACTGGGCATAAAATATGTGCTAAGTTCTGTGCTAAGTGCTGAAGAGTTATCAGTGGTGAAAACATTACTCCTTCCCACCAGCAACTTCAGTGTCATGAGAGTAGAGAACGAGAATCAGGCTTGGTAAGAAAATAAATTCATATTTTACACAACAGAACTATGGAACTTATGTGTCTGGTTTCAAAGAGATCTTGGGTTTGTAGATATTACTCAGGCGAATGACTTCAAACAAAGATCTCTATTTAAAAAGAAGAGCAAATAAGCATTCTCTGGTTTGTCTCTAAATACTGTAATTGCTGTCTCTGAATAAGTTCTCAGTGTCCTTGTCAGAAATCAGACACAAGATCATCTCTCTACCACATCTAGCTCTGGAGAAGACAGGGGGATGGAAATTCCTTTTGGAACCCTCTGTGAGCTTTCTTTTCTGGTAACTATTATTCTCTACATTCTGTAGCTGAGCATTGCTCCATCAGCAGTCACTATACTTAGAATTCAAGTTTCTAGATGAAAAGCCAATAAAAATAGAAAACATAACAGCATTTCTGCTTTCAGTTAGGACACTAAGAAATCATTGTCCACATGAACTAAACAAGTAACTCTGTTATCTAAATGGATAGTTTTAGTGGTTACATGTTTTGACGCTGGTCTCTCTTCACTGTCTGCTGCTCTTTGAATTGGTTTCTCTTATAATTGTGATCTTAATTGTTTTGTGAAATGGAATTTTGGGGTAAGGATTGGAAGAATAGACTTAGTCTCATCTCTTCTGAGAGTCTTCTTACAATAAACTTCCTCTCTTTGGAAAGAGATTTTCAATCATTGTTTTCCCACATAATATTTTTTCCACACAATGGGTTATTAATGATATTAAAAAACAGTAATATTTAAGTTTTAAAATATGTAAGGCATTGAGGGCAGATCTAAGCTTCAAATTTAGGTTGTCGGGTTTTAAATCCCATATTCTTAACCTCTCTGATATAACTGACTGGTTTTGCTGAAAATAGCTTAATAGGAATTTTGTGAAGAAACTGTTTTCACCTAATTTTCAACAGAAAGAAAGCCACTTAAATAGTGCTCTTTATTGATTTTTGTGGAGTTTCACATTCAATATCATTTTTTAAAATCTACAGTCACTAAAAATAATTTGAAACTACTGATGATAGTGCAATAGACAACTTAATAGTTAAGTTAAATTAAAAAATGTTAATGTTGTTATCGCTTAAATGCAACAGTTGCATTACACCTGCACAACTGACATATTAATTTAACATGTATTGGATTTGTGTGATGTGCCATGTGAGCAACCATGTAGTCCTTTTGATCGAAGAAAGTTTCCTTTCCTATTCTTCCTTTTGAGTTCTTTACCCCAAAGTATGAATAAAGTCATCGTGTAGAGACCAGAGTAACACAGTAGTTTGTAAAGGAAAAACCACTTCTGTAGAAACTTCTGAGGCATTTTGGAATTGTGGTTTGTTTCCTTAACCTTTGCTTTTCTAACTTTACTTTGTGAGATGCAGCAGGGAATATGAGACAGTTTAGCATTCTCCTGGGATTACAATCACTATATGTTTGCCAGAATGGATAGCAGAATGCTAGAGACACATTTCTGGCGACAGAAGCCAGCAAGGCCAGTTCACTAATGCAGCTTGGAAGAACTGTGACATATGACTCACCCTTCAACTAATTGATCAACCATCATCAATTATTTCTATTATTTGTATAATCTTAAAGTGATTTTGTTTTATGTTGCATATAATTGGTATGCAGACCATAAATTACTGACTAAGTTAGTAAAATAAAAATATTATATTATGTTATTACTTGATCATTAGGGAATATTTAAGTAAACTGCAGAAAATGTGAATATTCTAAGTCCTAAATCTTACCTGATGCCACAGGTCAGTTAACATGAAAATCGGGGGAGGAGGGGATAAAGAGGAGTTGTCTAATGGGTACAAAAATACAGTTAGATAGAAGGAGTAAGATCTAGTGTTAGGCAGCACAACAGGCTAACTAGAGTTAACTAAAATGTGTATTTCAACATAACTAGAGAAGTGGATTTGGAATTTCCCCAGCTAAAAGAAATGACAAATGTTTGAGGTGATGGATATCCCAATTACCCTGATTTGATCATTATATTTATATTTATATCAAAATATCGCTTGTACCCCGTAAGTATGTACAACTATGTATCCATAAAAATTTAAAAATTTTAAAAATAGGAGCCATAAAAATGGCAATACAATAAATACTTGTAAAGTCGTTTGACACCTTTTGAGGCAGAGCCAAAATTGTTCTGCAAATATAGGTCATCGGTTAGAAGTTAAATTGCCATTCTTGCACAAACAATATCAATACATATTATATTATGTATATATACATGCTATAATGTGTATGCTTATATGATATTTATATGTCCTGTGTACTTTCCTGTTCTTTCTTTTTCTTGGAGACAGGATCTCAAGCTGTTGCCCAGGCTGGAGTGTAGTGGTGCTATCATGGTTCACTGCACCTCAGGTGATCCTCCCACCTTGGCTTCCAGAGTAACAGGGACTACTAGGGAGTAGTAGGTGGGCAGGTGCCTTGGCCTCCCAAAATGGTGGATCATGTGAGACTAGCCTGCACAACATGGCAAAACCCTGTCTCTATAAAACAACACAAAAATTAGCCAGGAGTGGTGGCACTTTAAAAAGCATCTACCCTAGTTTTCTAGGGAAAAAAACAGTATTTATATAATATTCAATTTAGTTATTAAAGTTATATTAATATGTATGATTGGTATAAATATGTTTAGAAACAAAAACAAGTTTAGCTTGAACTTTATTGATGAAAGCCATGGATGTGGGCATTAAAAGGTGGCATCATAACCAAGATTACTCAGTATGCTGTAGTGGCTTAGTGATTATGTGATATAAATGCAATTGTTGACCAGGAGGATTGCCTGAGTGAGGGTTGGCTAAGTGAAGATCAGTTAAACACACAGTTTCTTTTGCATAGAACAAATCAGATATTGACTACTATTTGTAAAGCAGAATGTTAAAAACTCCTACTTTATTTTCTACATTTTTCATATCGTGATTAACAATATAAATTCATTATTAAATCTCTCTTCCGTCTATTATATGCTATTTATTTTGCCATATTATCTGATTTAATTATATCCAATTAATCTTGTACTTAGTATCCTATTCATTTTAACTTCTAAAGTAGTTTCTAATCTTGACCATAGTATATTGGATTCTGTGGCTGAAAGAGATGTCCATGATAATTTCATTATAGCTCTGTTCTCTATGTACTATTCAGAGGTAGTTGCATAAAACCATGTTTATGTTTAAATAATCAAGTTTTCAAAGGACATTTTGTTTGAAAGTAAAATATGTATTCATTTCTTGTTACATTATACATATGTAGGACTACTTATTTGCCATCCATTCAACAAATATTTACTGATGACCTTCTAAAGGTCAAATACCTTCTCATGTATAAATGGTATTATATTTACGACACTGTATATAGAGGCCATTTTTAATATCTATACAGAAAAATATCAGTCACCAATGTGATCACAGTGTATTACTTTTTCTGTTGCCACATATATTTGCTGATAATTCTGATAGCATTCAGTTACCAAACTGAAGTAGATTATTATTTCCACTCTTACAAATAAGTACAAAGAAAATATAGTCCATTATCAGCACCTGAAAATAGAAACTGAGATGACCAGGCAATGAAACTTAATGATTTAAAAAGTATCTCCAGCAATTGTTTTCAAACAGAGAATTATCTCCTTATGAAATGTTTACTATGAAGGACAAATACTCTAAAACATTTCTGCAAAAATTAACTTTCTAATACAGTCTAATGTAGTAGACATCCTTTCACATTTTTAAGTATTCCCAAAAAGTTGAATGAAGGCCAGCCACAGTAGCTCACATCTGTAATACGAGCACTTTGGGAGGCTGAGGTAGGCAGATCACCTGAGGTCAAGAGTTTGAGACCAGCCTGGCCAACATCATGAAGCCCCATCTCTACTACAAATATAATAATGAGCCAGGCGTGGTGGTGCACACGTGTAATCCCAGCTACTCGGGAGGCTGAGGCAGGAGAATTGCTTGAACCTGGGAGACGGAGGTTACAGTGAGTTGAGATCGCGCCATTGCACTCCAGCCTGGGCAACAAGAGTGAAACGACATCTCAAAAAAAAAAAAAAAAAAAAAAAAAAAATGTTGAATAAGGTGTCATAGTAGGGTAGTCTCTATGTTATATTTTAAATGCAAATCATTTTCCTGCAATGTATACACTTTCCCTAATACAGGATAATGAATCTCAAATTGAGCTACACAATAAACCTACCTAAGGAACCTTTAAAAAATACCCTGGTCCCTATTATAGTGGGCCCGATCCCTATGGATTTTGATTTAATTGGTCCATGATGGGACTCAAGCAACAATATTTGTAAAATTTTTTCTAATAATTGTAATATATAGCTATAGTTGAATACTACTGATCCAGAACATGCGCTATAATTTATTGGTGTTAAATTTCTAAATTAAAATTTATAATAAAATAATAATCAAATTGTATATTATAATAGTCTTTTTGAGTTTGTTCATTCAACAAATATTTATCAACCACCACTATTCTCCAGATTTTTGGGTGGATACTTTTGTTTTTCCTGCAGCATTTAGTTTGCTTTCAGTGAATAAGACACTGAATAAAACTATTTAAACATCTCTAGAAATATGCAGGCAAGCTGAATTTACAACTTTGTCTCCAATGGTGCCTTCATGTGAGTAGCAGAAGACTTTCTTTACTTTCTCTGTTTCTTCCTGTCTTTTAATTAAAATTCCACCCAAAGACAATCCATTTCATCATGATGTGGATTTTAAATTTATTTTTTGCATAATTTGATATTACCAAGTTTTTGATATACTTTGAGAAGTTCCTGCTATGTTTCAGGTGCTGTGGAAACAATCTTCCTCTTAAATGACTCACACTCTCGTGTGGAGGCAGATAAGCAGAGAGGGCACACACAGTGCGTAGTGTATGACACAGCACACACGATGCTCTAGGAGTACATAGCAGCAGATAAACACAGTTAAACAAAGACATTCACTGGGGAGGATCAGGGAATGTTTCTCCAAGAAAGTCACATCTAACCTGAGCCAAGAGAAGAGGGGAAAGGAGATTTCTGGTAAATGAAAGAATATGTGGAAAAAGTCAGAGGCGTGAGAGAACATGACCTGTCAAAATAAAGGCAGCTCAACACGATCGTAGCATGGAATGAGAGATGAGGCCTTGCTACCTCTCCCTCTTTACTGAATCAAAGGGCTCTTCTGAGCCAGTTTAGTCAGTTTTCTGAAGAAAATGAAGAGCCACCAAAAAGCTCATGCAGTATCACATTATGATCACTTCCCCTTAACACACAGATATTATATATGTATATAGTCAGAGTTGCTCAGTGAAATTTGATTAACCAGTGAATTTCTTTGTAAATATATTTGAAGTTATCTACTGCTTTTGGAAAGAAAATAATTGATGATAGATTCATTATAGCCATTCAAACAATTCTCTAATGTCTATGTCAAAGCTTAAACAACTAGACAACCTATTTTTTGTACTTTGATGGCTTTAGTTGAAGATGTTACTCTTATGTCAAGGGATTTATTTTCTTTTAAAGTTTCCATGACAGTGTCAATTGATGCCCTTAATGTATTTTCACTACAGAAACTGAAGGTTTGAATTTGAGACTCAATAGTCTTTAGGTGATGCTCAAAATCATGAGATTTGGATTTTTATGTTTTTTGGGGGTACATACGTCTTTTATTTATCTATTTTAGTTGGCAAATAAAAATTGTACATATTTATGGTATACAACGTGATGTTTTGATACATACATACACACATACACACATTGTGGAATGGCTAAATCAAGCTTAGTAACATACCGATTACCCCCACATACATATCCTTTTTTTTTGTGATGAGAGCACTTAAAATCTACTCTCAGCAATTTTCAAGTATACAGTACATTGTTATTAACTGTAGTCTCCATGTTTTACAATAAATCTCTTGAATTTATTTCTCTTAACTAAAATTTTGTATCTTTTAACCAACATCTCCCAAATGCTCCTCCCCCTTCCTTCTCCAACACCTGGTCACCACCAGGTGTCTATTCTCTGCTTCTATGAGTTTTCTAGATTCCACATATAAGTGAGATTATGCAGTATTTGTCTCTATGTCTAACTTACTTCTGTTATTTTGAAAAATCACTGATACATTTAATGTCTAAAATAGTGCCAAGCATGCAGTAGACATTCAAAATTTTCCTTGAGTGCATGAATGATTATAAAAGTCCAGAGGCTCTTCACTTTTAAGATGCATTTAATACTGAGTTACAATAATCATAATAAATTATGCTAGCTAATATTTATGGGGTGCCACCATATGCCAAGCACTATTTTTAGAGCTCTTGCATATATTACATCATTTAATCTTCATAACCATTTTATGAAGTACTTTTCTATCCTTTATTTATAGTTGAGGAAATTGAGGCACAGATAGGTTAGGGGACTTGCTAAGGCCTTATAAGTAATAAGTGATGAAGTTAGAATTTGAACCCAGGCAGCTAGACTCAGTTCCTTGCCTCCTAACCTTACACTTTACATTAGGAACGAAAGGCAGTGGGTGGATTGACAACCTTGGAGTGCTATTGCGTAAGGCAAATAAACAACAAACCAGAACTGTAACCCAGTGAAATATTAAAGAGATGATTTGATCCTCTGATCCTAGAAAAGATGTGTCATATTTTCTGCCCAAATAGTTTATATCTTTCACATTATTTACAGCTTCTTTTCTAATGGCTTTCCTTCTAATACATTGCGTATGTTCATTGCTTCTTTTTAAAGCTTTTCTGGAAACATCGCTTAGTTCATTTTAGGGAAACTTTGAAAACATCAATCTGCCTTCTCAATACAACTAATTATTATTAATAATACAATTGCTAAAGAATTTATTTTTCAAATGAGAACTCAAAATAATGAACTGTCTCTTGTACAACTTCTCTGGCATAAACGATCATTTATCTTCAAAAAGAACAAATGAGTTTTCATGAAAGCAAATTTCCAAAATATACACGTGGGAAAGATGCCGTAGTCAAGGCTCAATGGCTTGCTGCTGCTGTTGAGCGTGGCCTCCTATGTGATGCTTTTCATCTTTTGTTTACTTTTGGTTTCAACTTGAACATTAATGATTTTTGTTTTTCCAGACTATTACAGAAAAACACAAACTAAATGTTCCTGAGACGATGACTGAGGTTCTTGATGTTTCTGATGAAGAGGGTAAGACTTCTATTCAATCTTCTACGACACCTGTCATGTTCTTACACAAGGGCAAGTCACCCTTTTTTTTTCAGAGACCAAGCTGGTTATGTGGATGGCAGAATCTTAACATTTAAAGTCACTTTTTCACCTTTGTTTCAATACATTTACTTTTGCCGTGGCAGCGGGGGCCAAGGAGCAGTTCTGATTAGTATATTTTTTTCTGGTATTATCTCTTTTTCCTAGCATTATAATTAATGGCTATTAAATAATATGACTGGAAAAGGGGAAAACCTGGAAACTGCCCATGTATTAAAATAGCTATATATTAACACAATTATTATTAAATATGTTTGAATTATGTTAAAAATCTTTTTTTATTCAAATGCCTTTAAGTAAAGACTTTAAAGTATATTCCATCAAGGAGTGTTCTTCTTCAGCCAAGAGATCTCTGTATTCTGGTTGGTTCATAGGTACGGAATATATTTTAAGCCCAGAGGAAAAGAGCCTTAGAGAAGGTTTAAAAATAGTACAGCAGGAAGTAGTACAAATTCAACAGAAGAATGTATTATTTAAGTCAGAAAATATCCCCCCTATAATTTTAGAGTTGATAAAAAATGATCTCAGGCAATGGCTTCCTAAGTCCCGGGAAGTCTGCTTTCCTAAAAGGAGCAGTGGGGACTGTCTGGAGTGGGTGTGTGACATTGGGCTAGAGCTGGAGATGGGCCAATAGGGTGTCCGGCTCCCTATCTCTACTTCAACTAGAGTAGCTGACTTTTCTTCATTTTGTATTTTGAATTTCCATGTAATATTCCACTTGGACCAAAAAAAAAAATTTGCTACTAAAAAATCATGAAAGCAACACATACAATTTTTTAAAGCATTTTTTATGAGGAGATAGAAAAAAGAAAGAAAAAAACCACGCAACCAAGTTTCAATAGTGCAGCGATTCATCCACTGTACATGATTGAAAAATTACTGTCATATATATACATGAAAATGTATGTTTGAAAAATTATTGCTATTAAGAATGGCACTAGGTTTAATACTAATTGCTTTTACAGAGAAATATTAAAGATGTTTCTTTAGGTTCTTCAAGATAAAATCATAAGATAAAACTTCACATTGAGATGTCCTTATTTAGAACCAACCTGTCGAATCACCTATTGGTAATAGGTATTGAGTTTTCTCAGCTTTTATAAGAATTGATGACAAGAATGAACAAATGTTGGATCAGTGTATTATTTTGAGTAAATTCAAAGGTATTCCCAAAGCCAGCAGTTCCAAATATTTAGTATAATTTTGTGTTCTATCTTGCCAACTAGTTCTCAGCATTCCTATATGCATATCGTATTTTGTTTTGTGGGATCATCTTTCTTATCTCTACTTGTATGTTGAACAGCTCTTAAACAGTTTGGTGACCACTTTATTGATGGGGAGGCACTTAGTGATTCAGGTAACCTTGGAGGAAATTTTTGGAGTGAAAACTTTTCTTTGCTTTTAATTTTTCTTAACTGGATAGAACAACTTGCTTAAATCTGTGTGCCTAACACTAATCTATTTCTTTTGAAATAGCATGTGTAATATGAGTGGAATTGTATATGTGTGCATTTGAGTGTGCAGATTTTATTAACTTAGAAGCTTAAAGTCATGAATTGTTTGTACTGTTAATGATTTTGCAACTATTATTGAGACCTGCTAACATAATTATAATCTAGTGAACATTATATAAATATTTTCCACAACTAGTATCTTTTCTTAGAATATAAATTTAGAGAAAAGTAATTCTTTTGTTAGTCGACACTGAGCTAGCATGAACATGATAATAACTAAGTTAGACCACTTGAAATAAATGCAGTTTATATCACCTTCTGGGTTGATGATATATTTTAGGTGTGATTAAAAATATATTAATAGTTATATGATTTTTAAATATAGCTAAGAATAGAAGTAAAGTAACATTTAAAAATTGTTTAGGGTGAATTTGGCATATAAGGAAAAATGAATAATGTAAGATATTTTATCTAGTAAGAAGTTTCCAAAGTACATGTGGTACCACTTTAAGCAACTGTATTACGTGAAAATTTAAATTTATAAATCAGATAAATTGAATAGTGATTATTTAATTTAAAAATAGCCCTTTATTTACAAAATAATTGCTGGGGAATTCTATTAGTTAATTCATTTAAAGTATTTAATATTGAGTTTATAAAAGAAATTTATACAAAATAGCCTCTCAGATCTGCCTATTGCATTAAATGAGATGAGTTATAACATTCTGTACTTTCATTATTTAAAATGTTATATATTAAATATTACTGGTGATAAGAATTCTTGGTTTGTGAAGAATATTGGTGAATGACCAAGATTATCTTTTGTGGTAAGAGAAGTCCATGTTTAGAAATAGCCAAAACTTAATAATATTTCTTTCCCAGAAGAAAATTCAAGTTGAATAATTTTCATGTAAAGGATCTGTTTGAGTATTGATAAGTAACTTTTTCATAGAAAGAATTAGTGTGAAGGAAATTGACTGGTTGACATTGCCAATGCCAACCCTTTAATGTTTTGTGAAGTTAATATGTTTTTCTGAAACCTGCTATCATCCACGTGGACAGAATGCAGCCACATGTGTTTGAAAATTATTAGCTAATCCCTGTTTTCTCTACAGTCTATTGTTTTATTAGTAGCAATAGTATGTCGATACCCAAAAAGAGTATTCAAACTCTTACCATTAAGAATGCCACTATGTTTAATACTAATAGCTTTTAAGGATATTAAAGACATTTCTTTAGGTTCTTCAAGATAAAATCATAAGGTAAGACTTTACATTGAGATATTCTTACACTGAGGTATCCTATCAGGCTAACTTGCTGTATACATATTAAAGTAATCCACAATATCCACTCATGAATCCAATTAACAAATAATGAATGTGATGTTATTGTGTGGAAAGCTCTGTAACTGGTGCCACAGTGGAATCAAAGGTGAGCATAAGGCAGGCCTTAGGAAGCCTATATAGAGAAATAATGTATATATTAAAAGCAGCATAATGGAAGGCACTGTGTTGTCAGGTTTTCATATCCACTTGGGGAGATCAGGAGCTACATATACTTAACATCGTCTCATGAACGTGCTGAGAAATGACAGAGTAATAACCAGGTACATAGATTTTAGGGATTAGATAAGGAACAGTATGGGAAAATCTTGAGATAGGAAAGTACAAGAGAGAGACACAGAGTGGCAGAATTCTCCAGTCATTCGATTTGCTGATGCATGAAAACATACCGGGCTCAGCTGTGGACTGTTTGAATTCTTTGCTGAAAAGTCTGGGAAACACAATACCTTAAAGATTTCAATTAACGATGAAAACATTTAAACCTGTTTTTACAAAGATTTAACCAGCAGTGGTACATAGAAGGAGTTTTTTGGGAAGAACCTGGAAGAAAGCAGAAATCTAAGAAAAGAGAAAGCATTTACGAAACCTCCATAATGCTAGGTACATGTCTCATTTAATCCTTATACCATCCCTGTGACACAGGCTGTGGATATCGTTCCATATATATATATATTTTTTTCGGTTAAGGAAAGGCTTATTTTGGGGGAATGAGGCCTAGAGACATTAAGTAGTTTGTTCAATGGCACGCAGCTATTAAGTGGTGGGTGTGGAATCAAAACCTAGTATGAAAAGTATTGTAATAGCACAGCCATGATATAAATATCATCCTTATGGAAGAATATGGCAGTGAAATGCAAGGAAAAGACAGAAATGGGAATTCAGTCTAAGAGAATTATAGCATCCAGATTTAACCAAAGATGTGAAGGTAATCCACTAAGTCTTCGTAGGATCATGAGTTGATCCCTGTCTTCACTGACT